TCAATATTTTTGTGTTTTTCAAAGAATTTTTACAGTTTGATCAAATGCAAAAAAAATCTAAAAAATATTTTGCAATTTTTGGAAAATTCTAAACCTGGTTTTTTTGCATTTTCATACTGTAAAACATCGCCATTTTTGCTCTCCGTATAGCTTCAGTACCCCGCCCCCCCCCCCCCGTTATTAGAACAGCTACAGTGAGCGGAAGATGCGATTTTTGCGTTTTTCGGGATAGTGGGATTTCTACAGTAACCCCAACCGTAGGCTACAGTACCCCCCTCGATACCGTAACCCCGGCCCTGCCATTCGCCCAACATTATTTTTTCCCATTTGTCATTTTGGATTTTTTATCTTTCCCGGCCCTCCCCCCACTATTATGGTTCACATGTTCAGCTCATTTTTGTATTGATTTTCCCGATTTTTTATTTTTGCAGGCCACGCCCCTTCCCGGAAGCCACGCCCCTTTTGTAATACTAGCAGAGATAATTTGGGAATTTTTCACAAAAGAGTCGAAAAAATGATGTTGCAAATTTTGACAAAATCCAAAAAATTGCGACCCTGTTAATGAGACCTTGTTTTTATTTTTTCCCTAACGTGAGGATTTAAATACGATCATTGCCGACAGATTAGTGGGGAAATACGGTAGGAAAAAAGCGTCAAAAATTTTATTATCGGAAAAGTGAAAACAAATCAGTTTCACCTTTTTTGAAATTCGTTTCGTTTTGTAACATCTAAAAGATAGGCGAAAAAACTGCGTAAAAATGACAATGACCGTATCGTAAATCCAAAATCAAGTTAAACTATAAGTTTCAAATTTTCTAAAAAACCAAAAAGCTAAAAAGCGACAAAAATCGGTTCGGAAAGAAAATGTTTCAAATTATCACAAAACGCCAGAAAACTCGGGTTTACCTTAGTGTTGCATTTTTTATTCGACTTTTCAGCTTGAAAAAGACTAGGATTATCGTATCAAAAAAAGATTAAGATTTCTTTTTTAGTAAATTAAAAATGAGTTTCAGCCTTTTTCAAATTTTCAAAAAATCATTTTTTTTGTGAATGTTGCACTGGACGGAAATTTGAAAAGTTTGGGATCAGCAATCATAGAGAAATCTGTAAGAACAGCCACTTACTGTCCAAAAAATTAGATTCTAAAATCCAAGTTTCACTTTTTCACAAAACCCCGAAAAATTGGATATGTCTTAATTTTATTTTACCGGTTTTTATCGTATTTTTCGTCTAAAAACGGCAATTATCATCCTAAAAGACCAAGTAAACAAATTTAAAAATTTCTAAGTTTCATAAATTTTCCAATTTCCAAATTTTTTGGCCCTTTATTTTTTTTAAATAAGACAAACGAAACGCTCCTAAAAAGGGGCGTGGCCTGGCGCTTGTCAAGATACTACTGTATAATGTAGATCTGATTTTTTTTCCATCTTTTCTCCCTCTTTCCCCGAATTTCCAAGACACATCCCCCATCAAAAAACACACAGCTACCGTAACCCCCAATTTCTGGTAATTTTTTCATATTTTCGATTTCCGGAATGCCGGAATTTTTCCGCCGGATTACGGTATACTGTAATTTGTAACTTTTATTTTCATTTTTGGTTAAATATATAGTGACTCGATTGCCCCAATTTCCCCATTTTCTTCATGTATTTTTCGGAAGGGAATAAAGTGACAGAGTTTTGCCGAGACTGCAAACTACAAACGGCTATCACTGTTTAGTCTCGGACTTTTAATCCTGGGTTTCGACTTGGAGGGCCAAGCTGGCATCCGGACTACAGACTACAACGTTTGGATGAGGGCTACAGACTACCGAGATCGGATCAGGTGACCGATCCGGGTTCGATTCCCGGCCGGCAGGGACGTAGCGTAAGGTGGGCCCCCTGGGCCCGCCCCCCGAAATCGGCCGGGGCCCGAAAATTTCATAAGGGGGACCCTTATGATTTTTATTTTCTCAAAAATTTTGCCGCCTGCGGCGCTATTTTTGCACGTTTTTACTGCTATTTGTAGAGCTATGTAGCCTTTTTCCAAAATCACAATTTCCGGGATCAACTTTTTGCTTTTCGGATTTTTGGGATTCAATTTCGTTGGCAATCCCTAAACTGGCAACCAGACTACAAAATACAACCTCTAGATAGGGCCAGAGACTACAGAATTACTACCAGGCGAACGACCCGGGTTCGATCCCCCGCGGGGGCTAACTTTTTGCTTTTTGAAATTGGGAAGAACCAAAAAATCTAGAAAACTAGAAGGGGTGGTAGACAAGAAACGACAAATTCGCCGAAAAGTCCAAAGAACCCATTGGGCAAAAGCGACATTCACGGGTTTTGCCATTTTCTGAAACATTCCATTTTAAATTTTTTCGTTTTAGAAACTTTTTTCCACTATTCGTCGTTAAATTTTTTTAATGTTATTATATGAAACTTTAAATAGGGATTGGCGATTCTCAGGAAAAAATTACTAAAAAATTATTTTCTATTACTAATATAAAATAAATAAAGAAATAAAACAAACCAGAATTAGTAACGAACTATATTGTGGAAAGACGGGGGCGCCGAAATTGCAAAATTTGCAAAACGTCGTGGTTTTGGGGTTTTTGGAAACATTTTAACTCTATAAAAATCAGGAAAAATATATACAGATGGTGCTCATTTTTTTATCGTAATTTACAAATTTATTTGAGCCATTTTAGGCTAAAACTATAGGTTTTATCCCAGAGGGAAAATAACTGGATTAGTTCCGCTCAAAAAAAACTCACCGTTTCATGAAACATTCATTTTTTAATTTTCGACCTGTGCATCAAATATTTATTAGATCTTCATTCTACAAACTATACAGGGTGTATCAAAAAAAAGTGCCCAAGTTTGTCCCCGAATATCTCGAGAAGGAAAAATATTTCACCGTGCGTTACCATGCCAGAATGCTTAAATATGTCAGGAATAGGGAAATAACTCAACTTGATTTTTTCGATTTTTGAGTACGCAACTGTACTATTGACGCTGATTACGACCGAAAATTGTGCGTTCTTGAATGGGTGGTGGGAAAATTCTGATTTTTGGCCGATATATAGTTGAAATTAGTAGAAGGGTAATAGCAAAGTTTTAGAATTTTTGAAGGTCTTGTTATTTTTTTACAAGCAAAACAAATTTCAGCATTTTACACCTTTTTACTTCTTAATTCGCAACTCGCTTCAAATCCGCTGCCCATGGCTGATCTTTTGCAATTGGTGTCTCCAAATGATAATCTTTAGCACAACACCAAATTTTACCTGATTCTATGGTATTTTAATATTGCTTGCTAAAACGTGCCCCAGAGGGATACTGTAGTTTTTGTTTTTCGCGTTTTTCTCTTGACTCAAAGCTGCGATCTCGCTGAAAATTTAATCATTGGTAAACAATAGTAAGGGTCACCTATGGGCTAAATATCGCGAAGTTCTAGCCACACACTTTCCAAATATATGCAAAAAAACTTATTTTTGAATTTAGCCACGGAAATTTCTCGATACTTGAATGGATCGGTCCGAAAACTACTATTATCTCTTTTCCCAAAAGATTGAAACGATTCTATGGTGGAAAAACCACGAAAACCGCAATTTTCTGTTTTCTACAGTAACCCGTCTGGAGCGCATTTTAGCATGCCAAGACAAAATTCCATAAAGTGCCCATTTTTCGATTCTAGACTGTTCTCCGGGTGATTATCAGAACGCAGGCAAAAAATTACTTATTTTCTGTGGTAAATGACAAAGTTATGAGGGAAAGAAGAAAACCCTCCTCGGGCCCCGATTTTGGGTCTGAGGCCCCGGGTCGAATATCCAAATTTTGAAAATGAAAAAAGCACGGAGGTTTAGTGGATACAAATAAAGGCTGTATAAAACCATACATGACAGTAAAATTCTGGAATGATCTGGTAGAAGTTTATGGTTCATTTTGGTTTAAAACCAAAAATAACGTTTTTTCGAAAGCTGACTTTGAGGAGCTCTTCTAAATTCGATTGCGATCGAAAGCTTTTTTAATTGCATGGGTTCTAGTTGACTATCCAAGCTTGGCTTATGCTAGAAATGTCGCGGCTACCAGAGCCTCGAGAATTTTTTTACGTGGCCTCAAACTCCGGCATATTTGGGCTCCTCATGAATTTCTTTTGACAAATTGGATGGCCCGATCAATTTGTGAATGTAATGCAAGAATGCGCCAATTAAATAGTATTAATAAAAATTATAACGAGAATTTTAACGTCGCAATTAAATTTTATAGGAAGGTAGCAAGGTCTGCAAAACAGCACGAACCAAACGTTTTAGAGGTCTTAAAAGGCGCCCTTCCAAGGGGGTACGGTAGCTCGAAGTTTTATCAATGATAGATAAACCCCAGCCCTGCATAATTAAAGAAAGAAAATAGTTGAGTTTCATCTGGAACTTTAGAAATATTTTTCCAAAGTGCGGTTTCGTCGCCCAAAAAAAATCCATGAACAGGGGGTCGTCGAAAAACTTGAAAAATCATCGATCTCAAAAAATTCTTTAATAATTATCTGCGATTGTGTTGGGGTCGTAGGTATTCTACAAACACTTATTTTGACATTTCCACCATCAGTTTTTTTAATATTCGAAATTTACGAAATTTCTCCATATAAAACTTCAGCCCTTAATAACTTTTCGACCAGACCCTCAAAAATTCTTAAATTTTGTAGGTGCATATCTGCTGCTTACATTAACTTACATAGTAAAAATGAGAGGCTAGTCACCATACAAAACTGAGAAAAATGCAATTGAAGTTTCCCCGAACGCACAGTTTTCGGGTGTCATTAGTATGGGTACGTCGCCGAAAATCGAAAAAATCAAGTTGAGTTATTTCCCTATTCCTGACATATTTAAGCATTCTGGCATGGTAACGCACGGTGAAATATTTTTCCTTCTCGAGATATTCGGGGACAAACTTGGGCACTTTTTTTTGATACACCCTGTAAAACTCACATTAAAATCGGGGTAAATTAAAAAGAAATATTTTTGCTTAAAATTGGATAAATTCGGGCGGTTCGCCGCCGGAATTCAGATGGCGCTTCATGTGGAGCTGGAGATGATCACTGCGCCCGAACGTGCGTCCACAGTTGGGGCATCTGAATGGGAAACGCTTGACTGGCAACCAGACTACAAAATACAACCACTATTTTGAAGCCACAAGCTACAAATTTCCTACCAGGCGCACGACCCGGGTTCGATCCCCTGCCGCGACAAAATATTTGCGTTTTGAGTGTGATGTCGATTTGTCGATTGGAACTGCTAAAATGACATCCAGACTACAAAATACAACCACTAGTTTGAAGCCACAAGCTACAAATTTCCTACCAGGCGCGACCCGGGTTCGAATCCCGGGCGCAGCTGACTTTTTGCTTCTTGAATTTTAAACTCGTTTTCGATTTGAACTGCTAAACTGACACCCAGACTACAAAATACAATCGGAATTCGATGGCTATATCAACTGATCAGCGCACAGTACCTGAACGGCTTGGCGCCGGTGTGCTTCCGGTAGTGCCGCGTCAACTCATCGGATCGGGCAAACGAGCAGTGGCACACTGGCCATTGGCACACGTAGGGCCGTTCACCTCAAAAAAATATTTATTAAAATTGCAAGCCACAATGGGCCCTTTGATTTTTTAATTAGAAGTCTTGCAGTTAAAAAACAATGTTTTAAAAAATTTTAAAACCAAAAATTTTTATTGAAATTCATTTAGTTGAAGAGAAAATAAAATTCGGCAATTTCCTTTAGCTATTAGGTGCTTCCATGTTTTAAAAATAACTTAAACACGGAAAGTTTAGCGAAAATCAATAAATTTCCGGTTGGCCATTTGTAATTCGTTAGTTATTATAGTCAATTATTAATCAATTAAATGACGCGGATTTCATTAATTTCCTCGCTATAAATACCGCCCACAAAGCTGTATTCTAAAACAAAAAAATTTAAAAATGGAATGTTTCAGAAAATGGCAAAACCCGTGAATGTCGCTTTTGCCCAATGGGCTCTTCGGGCTTTTCGGGTAATTTGTCGCTTCTTGTCTACCACCCCTTCTAGTTTTCTAGATTTTTTGGTTCTTCCCAATTTCAAAAAGCAAAAAGTTAGCCCACGCGGGGGATCGAACCCGGGTCGTTCGCCTGGTAGTAATTCTGTAGTCTCTGGCCCTATCTAGAGGTTGTATTTTGTAGTCTGGTTGCCAGTTTAGGGATTGCCAACGAAATTGAATCCCAAAAATCCGAAAAGCAAAAAGTTTTCCCCGGGCAGCGTTCGAACCCGGGTCGTTCTCCCCTGGTAAGATTGCTGGAGTTTGTAGCCCCGTTTTTCGAGTTATATTCTGTGGTCCGGCTGCCAGCTTAGGAATTGCGCCTAAAAATCGGCGGCCCCGATTCCGTTTGGGTACTGTATCCACTCAAATATCTGGTCCCCCGTGGGGGCAAAACAGATGCATATCTCGAGAGATGGCCCCAAATATTTGCCCCTCTCTCTCTCTCTCTTCCACTACAAGATACGACTGTTTACAGCCGTTTGCACTTCCAATTATCCGCCCTCTCACCCCATGGCGGTCACTTCAAAGCGGGGTGTCATTTGGCGCATCCCGGAAATGCCGAGGTCACGGAGGCAAGGGGTACGGTAATGGAGGGTCGAGAAGGGTCCTAAATGATCTCTGCTAGCCTGCCCGGCGCCGAGAATACGGTAAATTTGTCATCGCTTTGATGTGGTCGGAAATTATTTTCCCAAAAAATTGGGCCATCACCTATTGTCCCGAGACATTAGGTTACAAATTTTCCAAATTTTGCTCCCATTGTTTCCAATTTTCGTAAATCATCTCTGCCGGCCTGCCTTGTTCGCGAAAATACGGAGATTACGCGCAAAGTCAAATTACCAAATTATCGACCCAAAAATGGGCGTTAGCCGGCGGGACGCGAAGCTTGAGTTGTTGATTTCTCTATTAACTTTTCGACTTTTCCGCAAATTTTTTCTGCTGGCCTGCCTTTTTCAAAACGTTAAAGCTGGAAATAGGGATTAAGCGAAACTTTTGCGAATTTGTCCAGGGAGCGTAAATTCAGCAAGGCATTCGAGAATGATAATCCCAAAAACTGGGCGACCACTTGTTGTCCCGAAACATTATTTTCCAAATTTCGAAATTTTTGCTCCCATTTTTCTATTTTCCGCAAATTACCTCTGCCGACGTGCCATATTAAAAAAGAATTGATTTAAAAATGGACTATTTGGCGAAAATTAGACGGAGAATTTGAACGATCTACGAGCGTGGCAAAATCCAGAGACGAATGGCGGCTTAAAAAATGCGCAATTACCTTCCTGGCTCGAAACATTTGTTTTTTTGAGATGCGTTTCTCCGCAAATTGCCTTTGCTAGCCTGCTCTGCGCTGAGAATACGGTAAATTTGGAAAGGTTATCATTCCTTCGGGGACTATTGTGGTACAAACTAACCTTAGCCTCCAACGTTAATTTCCGAAAATTGCGCAAATTTCCTACATTTCCTCCGCTAGCTCGCCCGGGCCTCTAAAAACAAAGATGACGGTAATGGTCAGAGTTTTGGAGGCTAAGAATCCCTTCTAGCCTGCCCTGAAACGACGGTAAATGAGGGAATCTGCCGCGAAGAATCTTTGCTAGCCTGCCTGTTTTTTGTTCTAAATTCCAAAACTATATTGGCGGCTCAAAAATGTTCTCAAATCACCGAATCGACTCAACATTTTGTCGCGCAAGACCTAACGTTCGTTTATTTTATTTTATTTTATGATTTTTCCGCAAATTGCTGCCGGCGCTGAGATGACTATTGTGCTTAAAACCGCACGATGGCCTCTACGATTCGAAACATAAAATTTCAAAATTCGTGAAAATTTCCCAAATTTCCTTTGCTAGCCAGCCCTGACCCCTTCGAAATACAGAGATTACGGTAATTCCGCAAATTTGGAGGCAAAGAATCTCTGCTAGCCTGAGCCAGCTCCGAAGGGCCGCTCAATAATGCCGATCGTGAAACCTTGTAGCAATTAAGCGGCCAAGAAAAATTTTAACCAACTTTCTGACACGAAACATAAATTTTGGAAATACCTTTGTGGGGGCATTTTCCCAATTTGCCTCTGTTTTCCCAATCCTCACGATTAGATTTTAATTGGCTTGGACGAGTGTGCAATTGCGCGTTCAAAAAATTGACAAACACTTACCGGCCCGAAAAATTCATTTTCTAACATTTTCCGTTTTCCCAAATTTCCTCTGCCAGCCAGCCCTGGCCCCTTCGAAATACAGAGATTACGGTAATTACGTAACTTGCAGGCAAAGAATCTCTGCTAGCCTGCCCTAGCTCCGAAAGGCCGCAAAATAACGCAGATCTTCAGACTTAGAGGAATGATCGATTCCAAAAACGAGCTCCAGCGTTCGGACGGTGAAAAATGAGCATCAGATTTGTTACCGTATTTTGTCTGATTTTCCGCAAGTTACCTCTGCTAGCCTACCCACGGTACTTTGATCGCGGTTAAATTATCCTGGGGTTGCGCGAATGTTCATTGTGTGTTCAAAAAAATTGGCAAACACTTACTGGCCCGAAACATTCATTTTCAAACATTTTTTCAGTTTTCCCAAATTTTTTCTGCGATTCGGGCTTGGCCTTCGAAATCCAGGGATTACGTTAGTTGTGAAAATTTGGAGGGAAAAATCCAGGCAAAGCATCTACGCTAGCCAGCACATTTTTTCACGTTTTTTTTGGTTATTTGTTGCCCAAACCGCTTCGGAATATGTCTCAAAGATTCTCTGCTAGCCCACCGGCCCTCAAATCCCGTAAAAATTCAACGAAAATCACGTTGTTTGATCGATTTCCGCAATGAACGCCGTCTGCTAGCCCGTCATTAGCTTAACTGGCTCGCGGTTCAGCGACACGCGCCTCCAAAATGATATCTGCTAGCCTGCCGCACCGATTACGACATTGAATTCAGCTTCATGTCGTAAACATAAAAAAATGTCTGAAAAATTCCCTAAAAATCCCTGCTAGCCTAGCCTTTTTTAATTTTATCAAAAAACCCCAAGAATCTGCTACAGCCCTCTATCTAAAGCAAGAAACATAAAAATTGGTGAAATTGGCGAAAATCACCGCTAAAAAATGTGCGATTATCCTTCTTACCCGAAACACGATTTTTTTAAAAAATTTTTTTTGCGCGGAAATCAAATTGTCTCTGCGAGCTTGCCCTTGTCGCATAAAAAATTCTCAATTTCTGATTCGATTTTATAAAAAACTGTTTTTTTATTGGCTAGCTTGCCCTCAATTGAGAATCCGGTAAATTTATCAAGGTTTTCATTCCTTCGGGATTATTGTCCTAAAAAACCAGGCAAGCATTCACTGCCCCGAAACATTAATTTCCAAAAAATTGGCAATTTTCGCAAATTGACTCTGCTAGCTTACCGCGGCCTTGAAAATAAGGAGATTACGGTAAGCGAGGCGCTTTGGAGGCCAAGAAGCCCTGCTAGCCTGCCCTGGCTCTGAGAAGTTACTAAAACACACAATATGGCCCAACCGAACATTATTAATACTAGTGACTGGCGAGCACCTTTCTGACCAGAAACATACATTTTCCCAAATTCTTTTGCTAGCCTGCCATCGCCTCAAATTTCTGAAAAGCCGCTGCTAGCCTGTCGTCTTCTTAACTTGTAGCCAATCTAGCGATTCCCGCTTCCCAAATGAACTCTGCAGGTTTTGGCCAATCGATTACGACATAAATTCCGTTTTCATTTGCCTTAAAAATAAAACCGACCTCAAAAAATCCTGAAATACCCCCTGCTAGCCTGCCAATCACTCAGCTCAGTGTGTGTGAAGTGCCCTGCGGCTATTTGGCAGTTATCTGCAGCCTTTGGCGGGTCTTTTGCGGGTGGTGTCTTTAGGTAGCCGCGCGTACTCAGGGTTACTCGAGTGGGTACGGTATCCTATTTCACAGTGCCCCAGCCGAGATAGTGATTGATTGGCGGGGGGGGGGGCACTTGACAGCCCGGATATGCCCCCCGGCGCACAAAGGCCAAAATAAGGCAAACATGGCAGGCTAGCAGTGGTTCTTTGCGGAATTTCGGCCCAATTTCCTGCATGGTTTACAGCTTGGATGCCAGTTTGGCGATGCCGATTTTCAAAATGGAATTTTAACCTGACCCGAAAAAAAAACGCTCGGCATGACATCCGATTACGCCATGAAATTCCAAAATCATCAAAAATTCGTTTTTTTTGGCTTTTTGGGTCGGCTGTCCGCCCGAAAAAGCAGGGAAGGCAGAACGGGCAAAACATGGGCAAGCAAGGCGGGCTAGCGATGATTTTTGGATGATTGCATGAGGGTAAAGATATTTTAATACTTTAAAGGCTCAGTCAAGTCATATTTTCATGCCCTAATCGGCTAGCTGGTCAGCTAGCCAAGATTTTTAGGGATTTGCCGATGTTAAAAAAATGCGTTTCAAAAAATTCGGGGGAATATTTGGGCGGGTACTGTGCATTTTCATTGCGCGAGTCTTAGAGCTATTGAAGTCGAGAATTAGCTCACGTAATCGATTGCGAAGGCTGGGGCCAGCTAGCAGAGAACATTTGTGGAAACGATGTACTTTAAAGAGCTGCTAAAGTCATTTTCATGCCCTAATCGGCGAAGATCCTTAGAGCTTTTCACTCTCAACAAAAATTGGTTTCAAAAATTTCGGGGAAGCATGTACACTGGTGGACATCATTATGGCCTCGGTCGAAATTTTCGAAAATCTCGATTTCTGGCGGTGTTCATTGAAAGCGTTCTATAAAGGAAAGTAGCGGTATTCTATCATGATTTCATACCACAAACCCTTTTTGTAATTTTCTGGACAAACATTTTTTTAGGAATATTTTCCCAAAAAAGGCACTTTGAAAAAGGGACATAATTATAGCCTCACTTGGCTAACGTTTAAATAAAAAATTAAATACTCGCACAAATCAATAAGAAACAATTCCAATAATGTTTGGCTACACCATCATCTACAGGCAGGCGATCGACTTTTTGCTTGACTTTTCTTCCTTTGAAATTTTTTTCGGCCAAATCAGTTTTTTTTCTGCGCAATACAAGGCCAAACCTTTCCGGATGGCTACGCGAGAGCCTCTAACCATTGGAAAAGATGATCTGGAGAATTTTGGGGACCAGAAGCCTACCGTATCGTCCTCAAAACCGTCATCTTCTGTACGGGCGAACTCAACACGATTTTCGCAGTGGCGTTCATCCGCTTCATCCGCGGAATTCAGCACATTTCCAATCGAAATCAGGATCAGAATCTGATTTAAGAATAAGATGAAGCCTTAATTCTGCGAGCCAGACGGGCCCCAGAGTCGACCCAACCCCTTAAAAGTGGGTGTTTTTAGCGTGACCGGGTAATTTTATTGACTGTAACGTGATTGGCCATGTTCAACGCTCCCCGGTATTCAAAATCTAAGCAGAAGAAAAGAGTATCGCGTCTTAACAGAGGGAGGTCTCCACCTCGCATCCGGTCAGACAAAAAGTCGATCGCCTGCCTGTATTCTGGCTTGGAGATGCATCTCCCCCCCATCAAATTAGATGAAACCAGGGTTGAAAAGCCGCTTCGCGTCTTTTCAACCCTGGCCCCCGTCTAGCGTCATAATATGCGTCATTTTGCATAATTCTCTCGAATTCCGATGCCAAAAAAATGAAAATCTCTCCCTCCGCCCATTATATAGGCTCGCGCCATTTCCGGCATATGCTAATTGATTCCTAACAAAGTGGGTGCTCCATTTTCTAACAAAAACTTAATTTTAACGTCGAAAATAGCATAATTTGCAAAATCTGATGTGTGTGCAGTCATCTCAGTGCCATTACGCACCTAATGACGTATCATACGTTGCTTAAAACCCATTCCTCTTGAGATATCCTCCGGACACCCTGACGGAAGTTGCATGCAAAGTGGCACACACACACACACAAACACACAGACACTATTTTTTTATATATAGTAGGATGGTGTAGCCAAAGATTATTGGAATTGTGTCTTATTGATTTGTGCGAGTATTTAATTTTTTATTTAAACGTTAGCCAAGTGAGGCTATAATTATGTCCCTTTTTCAAAGTGCCTTTTTTTGGGAAAATATTCTTAAAAAAATTTGTGTCCAGAAAATTACAAAAAGGGTTTGTGGTATGAAATCGTGATAGAAAACCGCTACTTTCCTTTATAGAACGCTTTCAATGAACACCGCCAGAAATCGAGATTTTCGAAAAATTCGACCGAAGCACTAATGGTGTCCACCAGTGTACATGCTTCCCCGAAATTTTTGAAACAAATTTTTGTCGAGAGTGAAAAGCTCTAAGGATCTTCGCTGGCTGACACGCTAGCCGATTAGGGCATGAAAATGACTTTAGCAGCTCTTTAAAGTACATCGTTTCCACAAATGTTCTCTGCTAGCTGGCCCCAGCCTTCCCAATCGATTACGTGAGCTAATTCTCGACTTCAATAGCTCTAAGACTCGCGCAATCGTTGGCGTAATCGATTACATGGAGCAGGGCAGGCTAGCAGATATCCCTGCGGAATTCTCACCTGTTGGCCCGGATTAGTGCGGTAATCGATTAGCAAACTGGCAGAGACGATTTAGGGTATGAGAATGGATAGTCGGGCAGCCAGTTGCGCGAATGGCCGGCTAGCAAAGAAACTTTGCGGAATTTCATCACCGTAGTTACAAACTAAACCGATGTTTAGCGAGTTGTTCTCTGGATTTGATGGCGTAATCGAATCGGCAAACCAGCAGAGAACATTTAGAAGATGAAAATCGCTAGTCTGGCAGCCACTTAGGAAATTGGCAGGCTAGCAAAGGCGTTTTGAGGCATTAGCGGAATTCTCACCGGTATGCAGCCGCTGATGGGCCCTCAGATGGGAGCTTTTCGTGTAGATCTTGTCGCAGCCTGGAAAAAGTTGAGAATTGTTCCAGTCCCTTTAGAGCCGATTTTACTCCGGTTTGAAGGACCATGGAAGGCAAAACAACGATTTTCCCTATGGATTTTGGCTCGCCGGTCCCTTTAAAATCGAATTTTGGCTTTTTAAAGGACCGTTTAAGGCAAAACGGGCGGGACTATGGATCTTGACCTGATAAATTCGGATTTTTCTGACTTCAAGGCGTCGTTGGCCAAGCCTAAAATTTTTCAAGAATCCAATTCCAGAAATGTTTCAAAAAGGCTCCGGTTTCGAGGCGAGCCAGGCATATTAATGCGTATTCTGCCGTGACCGGACCAATAAATGATATTCAGTCAGAAATATCAGAAGATAAACGTTAAAAAACCAAAAAATCACCAGGGTATTGGCACTGATGAGTCCGTTTCCGTCCAATTTCTCTTCCTTTTCGGGGAATGCGCTCTTTCAGTGTTGGGCACTGGGCGGAGGGCGGGTAGAACACCTGAAAAAGCAAAAGATCTTTCCAATGGCCTCTGCTGGCTTGCCCGTTGGCTAAACTGACAGGCCGACTACCAATTTCCCCTTTCGAAATTTGGCGGGGCATGCTAGCAGAGACCATTTGCGGAGGAGGCTTGGGTTTCGGTCAAAAACCGTTGTTTTTGAATTTTCGATGCCAAATGATCTTTGCTAGCTTGCCAATGCCATCTGGTGGCCAGTTTATCGATTCCCATTCCCCAAAGGGTCTCTGCTAGCCCACCTTGCTCTCAATATCCGGCGGCAATCGAGTGACGAAATCGAACTCGTCGTCGACGGATGAGGAGGAGCAGCTCGGGGAGGAGGAGGAGATCGTGACAGCCTCAAAATAAATGCCAATAATTATTCATATTTCGAAAATAATAAAATATGACTTTCAAACATATAAAAGGCAGATTGGCAAAATTTGACAAAAATTTGAAAATGATGTTCCAAAGGCAATAAGCCTTCGGAAATATTTTGTGCTGTTATTAAGAGGATGTCCATCTCCACAACAATGTCTCTCTCGCACCAAAAAAGGAATTAATAGCCACCTCGCTACTCATCGCTAAATTAATGACGGTGAAATAATAATTGTGTTATCAGAATACATACCTTAAAACGCTTTAAAACGTAGACATTGTAAAAATTCACTCCTTTTCGATTTGAAAATAAATGTTGCATACAAATGGGAAAACCAATAAAAAAATATTTTGAAAAAATACGGTTTAAAAAATCCTAAATTCTATTAATTTCCTAAAAAAAAACTATCTTGTAATTTTAGAAAAATTATGAAGCCCGCGAAAGAAAAATCTTTCTGCAGAAAAAGCAAAATTAGAAATCTATGAAAAAATGTGATCCAAAAAAACCGAAAATCTCACTAAAAATTCACAAAATTGCTTTGCTAAAAATAAATCGTCGCTAAGGGTTAACGATCTAAATATTTTTGCTGTTTTTATTTATTGAAAGCTCATTAAAAAAAGTAACAATATCAAAAAAATTTGATTTTTTTCAAAAATATGTTTCAAAAATTATTCAAAAGTCAAAATTTTTAAAATCCAAAATTAAAACATATTTATTATAACTTTCTGGCAATCTAGCAAATTATTAAAGCGCAATGATTTCTTTCATTGTTTGCCCCCATTTTTCTTCTTCTAATAAAAATCCCCCTACCGTAAGCTGGGGCTCATATGGCCAGCAGTTAGCATGAGCAGGAGCTGGCGGCAGGGAGCATTGAGGCGGAACGGGAGCAGCAGAAATATACTGTAGCCGATCTAAACATCATTTTTGTCCACATCCAAAAAAGTTCGTCATTGTCTTCGAAATTTTTCGTGGAGTTTTATTTTTGAACGAAACAAATTTTTTTTAACATTTCAAAATTTGATTTTGTAAAATGTGTAGCATTGTAGTTTTATAAAAAATAAATATAAATATCTGCAGTATTTTTAAGCTATTTTTTACTATCATTAAACGTCAAAACAACTTGTATTAAAATTACGAAAAAATCGATTTTCCTAAAATCTTGCTTTTAAATTTTTTCCAAAATTAAATTTTCCATCTGTAATAGATGGTTTTACTTTACTAAAACAGATATCAAAAATTTTACAATTAATTGCTTAGGCATTTCTGGATTTATAAAAAAATTTGGACCAAAACTCGCCCTGACTACCGTAATCCTGATATTGCTCCTGGGGCGGCGGTTGATTTAGCAGAAACGGATCTCCCAAATATTCCTCAACGACAGTTTGTGAGAATCGCCGATGACCGTAACCCTGAAAAAAAAATAGAAAAAATAAATTTTTTTATTTTTGCGTGAATTTGATGTTTCAATTTTTCACCAATTCCCTCGCGCCTTTGTCTAAATTAATCTCGCCAGGTGCTCTTGCGCTAAAATTAAATGCTCAAGATTAAAAAAAATTTCGACTGTAAGTAATTGAAGCAAAAACCAATTATCTTAATAAAAAGCTAATAATAAAAGAATAAATCCTTAAATAAAAATAAATATAAAAATAAAAATGAAAAATTTACTTCTGCGGGTCCCGGCTGGCAAGGAGGCTCGAAATTGGGGTAGAACATCCTGCAAATAAATTCAATCTTAAATTTTATTTTTTTTTAGTCAGCGGAAGGCAAACGAGCAGAAAGCATTTGCGGAAAAATTGGATCTAAAAAAGGCGAGCTAGTCGGGATTTCTGAGGGATTTTTTGAAGCGGGCATGCCAGCCGAGACATTGGGGAATTTTTAATGGATAGACTTAGTTTAGCCCTTGGCAGGCTGGCAGAGACCTGTTGCAAAAAGCGTAAATCGTCCAGAACGCCGCAAAGAAGGGTGATTGCAAGTTATGTCGGGGGCTTTTGGCTACAAAACCATGAAACACGCGATTTTCCGAAAATTTTGGAAACAGGCAGGCTAGCAGGGATCGCTTAGGAATACGATCTAGATGCCAGTTTAGCTGTTGGCAAGCTAGCAGAGACCATTTGAGATAGCATCCGTGAATTAAGCTTTGTTAAAGACATTTTGGTCTAGAAAATCGGCAAAATGTCTCTGCTAGGTTGCCCAAGGCAATTTTAAAGCGGGAATAGATAGTGTGGATGTCAGTTTGGCCATCGGGCAGGCTAGCAGGGAAATTTTGGGGAAAGCGGGCCCAGAATCCGAGGCGGAAGCGGAACCGGCAGGGGGCCCGTCATCGCCTTGGCGGACTGGAGGAAGGGGTGAGTGGTGCTCGCGGCCAGGGGATTAGACTGTGCTCTTTCTCCCTCTCTTTCTCTCTCTCTCTCTCTCTCTCTGGCCAGCCCCAAACAAACAAATACAACCCTGCCAAATAGGGCCGACTACGCGACTGGCCTAGTGACGCCTTCTCTCGCCCTACTGTATCGTTTCCCAGGGCCCGCCCCCCTTTTGGGAGTGAGCGCAAAAGACTAACTGCCTGATAGTGAACCTCCAGGCATTGCTGGAATCCAAAAAGGGGACGGCTGGCAGAGATTCTTTGCGAACTGACGGAACCGCAGAGGAAAGAGAGCTGGCAGAGATGCTTTGGGAAATTCGAGGGGCTTAGCTAGCAAAGAACACCTGGGAACGTTGAACTGGCAACCAAGCTACAAAGTGCAACCTTTAGATCGAGGCTACAAACTACAGAAATCTTACAAAGCGCCGCTTCCAGGTTCGATTCCCGGCGACGCGAAACTCTATGCTTTTTGGGCTTTAGGTTAATTTCTCGATAGGAACATTTTAGCTGCCAGCCAGTTCAGCCATTCCGGTCGCCCAAATGGTCTCTGCTTGCCTGCTCGGTCCGAAATAACATTGTTTTCCCTTTCGCGCACCCGGATCTCCCCGGAAATCTGATCGATGCGGTGTGATAAATGGGATCACGGGGTGGCTGATGATCTGTTTCTCTCTCTCTCTCTCTCTCTCTCTCTCCATCCATTTGATAGAGTCGATTTATTGCCACAAAAAACCGGGGGCAACCAACCACGCCGCAAAACGGCACCCCACACTTTCACAATCTTGTCACCTCCGTTATTGGCGTTCCGATCCCTCAATGGTTTCTGCTAGCCTGCCCAACAGCTAAACTGACACCCAATCTATTCAGTTGGACTATAAAAATTCCTCTGGGCAAGCTAGCAGAACCCATTCAACGCATTTTTCCTCGACTTCTGGGCAAAGAATCGTTGCTAGCTTGCCCAGCTTTCATTAAAAAGCCATGCTAGCCTGCCTATTGGCGAAACTGACTGCCAGTCTAGCGGTACCCACTGCTTAAAAGTTCTCTGCTAGCTTGCTCTTCCCAAGATTTCCAATCTTCATGATTTTTCAGCCCGAAAGCCCGGTTTTTGTATGGAAAAGCTATTCCTCGGGCTATTTTTCGTGCTGCTGGCATTTTGCCAGGTTTTCGACGCGCGGCCCCCGCTGACGCAGGATGAAATAAAGGAGGTGAGCCAGTAAAAACCGGGCAACTAAAAGGTTAAAAATTTGAAATTTAAAAAACTGAAAAAATTTGGAAAAATTTCATAAAGGAAAAATTGTTTTAGTGCCGCCCTTTCTACAAGGCTTATCAAAGCCACGGAGTTTTGCCATTATCGGGGGGTCTTTGCCCACAACTTTTCTGAAAAGTCCAGAAAGGACTTCCAATTTAGTAGAAAGTATTTTAATAGCGTTTTTTAGGAAAAATCGAAATTTTGAGCGAAAAATCCATATTTTTGTTTTTTTAATCGACATTTGGAAAGTTTTTTACCTTTAAGAATAGTTAGAACGGTTTGAAATCATTTCCTCTCTTGATATTAGAATCCGCCCCCCCCCCCGATAATGCAAAAGAACCAAAAATCACACGATACCATGAAAAATGCATTTATAGCGAAAATTCGGTGGAGGAATTATATTTTGAAAAAATGACTTGATTGGGCCGAAAATTGAAGCATTATTTTTTGCAGAAAAATTACTTTTTAAAACTTGGATTTTACTAACGTTTTTAAAAAATTTAGGCTCCTTATGTGGACTATTTCGACGAGTTGTCGCTGAACTGGCTCGATAGCGCCTCGTTTAAGGTATGCTGGTTTTATTGTGGAAACGTGAACTAAGATCATTTTTCTTAGGGCTTCTCTAATTTTTGTAACTTCGTATGTATATTGTTATTTATAAATAATGATAATTTTTTATAGAGTTTAAGTAGTAAACTTTATTAATTGTTATTTATTAGATTTTATTAAATTTCAGTTTTGCTTGATTTTTTTTCTTTTGAAAAATGAGACTGGGTACTGGACTTTTAGCGTGGGGTATTTTATTTTTTGCCTATACATTTCTGTTCATAAAAATTACTGTATTTTTAGAGGGTTTTAATAGGTTTTATTGCTAGAACGCAACAAAAAATGAATTTTGTCAAATCGACAATTTGGCCCTTTTTGGCCATTTTTGAAACATTTATCGCCAAAAAAATGCAAGATTTTAAAAATTCACAGCCTGAAAACACACGTGAAAATTGCTATAAAATGGATTATCGTTGTATATAGGGCCTAACGGGATTATTGGCAAAAATCCCCCCCCCCCCGTTAACAGCCCAGTACCGGAGATTGTTAGCCAATTGAGATTTAAAAGAATCGAAAATACAAATTTTAAAATTCACCCCAAAAACCCGCCCTCCCATCCCCCCCCGATAATGCGAAAGCACCCTAGGATTTTAAAGGGGCCAGGAAGTCGAATTTTCGATTTTAAAAACGCTTAAAAATGTAATTAGAGGATTTCTGCTGTATCTGCGGATCTAAAATTACGTCAAATTATTGCAGAAAAAACCGAGTAATGGTTGCCCATTTTTGAAACATCTTTTTTAAGCTAAAATTTTGAAAATTTAAAATTAGGAAAGGCATTACACTTAGATTTCCAAAACACAAGCCACTTACCCATAATTATTGAACTTTTGGACGATTCTTGTCATTTTAGCAAAAAATGTTTCAAAAATTATTAAAAAGCTCGCCCTTTGAAAATTGGAAATTATTTTAAAAGCATTTTTTGGCTTTCTAGAAATTGGATAAAACTGCTAAAGAATTATGAAGACCCAACTCTGCAGATGATTATTTGGTCCTTTTTTTCGCGGTACTTGGATTTTTTGAAAACATAAGTTTTCCAAAAAAGTATTACTGATTATTTGATCTCGATTTTTAAGGCCAATTTCGGCAAGAATCTCCGCTGGCTTGCCCTGGTATCAAAACAATGAAAAAATCTAACTTAAACAGCAAAAATTTGTACAAAATCGATTTTTTTTCAGGAAAACCTGCGCGCCGAAAAGCAGAAATACCTGCTGTCGATCGCCCAACGACGCCGCGCAATTATGGCGAAACGCTTTAAAATGGCGTAAACGCATGGATTTCATAAATTCCTAAAAAGCCATTGTTTTAAAATGTGTGTTTAATATTACGCATCATTATAAAAAATCAAAGAAACGATTTTGGAATTTTTGTTGGAAATTATGTTTCCAAAAAATCCAAGTGCCGCGAAAAAAAGGACCAAATAATGGGCTGGAGCGTCACTCCTTCATAATCAAACCAAAAGGGGTTAGCGGGCTACGCCCGCTAACCCCGATTCTTTAGCAGTTTTATCTAATTTCTAGAAAGCTAAAAAATCCTCTTAGAATACTTTGCAATTTTCAAAGTGCGAGCTTTTTAATAATTTTTGAAAGATTTTTTGCTAAAATGCCATGAATTGTCCAAAAGTTCAATGATCAATGATTATGCTTGGGCGCTTAAATCTAAATCTAAAACGGTGTAAAATCTATAAAAATGGACAATATTTAGTTTGTGCGCCAGTTTCATTAATTTCGTACGCTACGCTACTCCATACAAAATCGCGCGCATAGTAGTGCTTCGTACAGATTTAGCGGAACCCGCAACCGACGATTTTTAGCCCTTCTTTCCTAGAGCCAAAGTCTGAAAAAAACGGGTTTTCGTGGTAATCGACCCCGCTCTTTCCGGTGACCACGTTCGTTTTGTAAATTAAAGCCATCTTGGTGAGCTAAAGCCGAAAATCAGCTCAAAATCGAGCAAAAAAAACACATGAAAAATGAAACAAAAAGGCGTAAAATCGTGTAAAAACGACAAAAAGCATGAAAATAATGGAGTAAGGCTTTATCGTCATTCTCGGCACTCTGGTGTAGCCGGTAATATTAAGGTAATTCTTGTCGTTTCTTTCAGCGGCGCGGGCTTAATGCATGTCGACGGTGGGAAAGAGGTGGAAGATGCAGTCGTCGGCATATCTGCAAAGGAACGAGCAGTGATTATTGGGGAACAGGTACGCACCGCAGCCGCAACGCCTGCTCGAGTCGGCGAGCATGTTTCGAGTCGCGGGTCTCGGCCACCACCTTCGTGCGGACGGTGAACACGTCCGAACGGGTCCACGAGCGCTCCTGAATTCTTGGTTTTTGGCGGAAAGGCTAAACTGGCAGCCGGACTACGCAATGCAACTACAGTACGCGCACCTGTCAATAGGAATCTAGCGGAAAATCCGGAAATTTGAATTTTGCAATTTTTTCCAGGGTCTAACTTTTTGCAGTTTGTAGCTAGAAGTCTAATTCTTTCGGCAATCGCTAAACTGACACCCAGACTACAAACTCCACCCACCAAAAAGATGTCCTTGATCGATCCGCCCTCCTTGGCGACGAGTTCGGTGAGTTCGGCGATGCCCCACGGCCGGTCGGAGACGCTCACCTTGAAGCGGACCAGGCGGTTGTCCCACGCCATGCCTGAAACCGGGGGGTGGGGCGGGCTAGCCGAGGTTTTTGATGCCGTAATCGGTTGTCCGGATCGATTTTCCTAGCTTTTCATGAATTTCCTTGCGTAATCGGCTCCGAAAACCCGGGCAAGCTAGCAGAGGTCATTTAGGAAGTGGGAATCGACAAACTGGCTGCCACGGTATCGAATGGCAAGCTAGCAGAGGCCATTTGGGGAATTCCGCTCCCACACCCACCCCTCTCCATGACGCGTCCCAGCTGGGTGGTGTCGATATTTCCGCCGCTGAGCACGACGACCACCTTCTTGCCCTTGTACTTGTCGAGGCGGCCGGACAGCAGGGCGCCCACGCCGCATGCACCCGCGCCCTCCACAACGATCTGAATTTCAGCGCGTAATCGTTAGAAACCTCGATTTTCGAGGAATTTCATGACCTAATCGGTTCCAGAAAGGCGGGCAGGCTAGCAAAGAGAATTTAGGAAGTGGGAATCGATAAACTGGTTGCCAGTTAGATTGATGGCAAGCTAGCAGAGGCCATTTGAGGAATCGGACTGACCTTCTCCATCTCGACGAGCCGCAGAATGGCGAGTCCGATTGTCTTCTCGTCCACCACGATCGACTCGTCAATTTTTCCTGTAAAAAACACGCAAATTTGCAATCTTTTCAAGACGTACCGAGCGCGGTGGCGAACGCGTTGAAGCCGATGAGGGGGACGGCGAGACCGTCGGCAAGGGTCGGCATCACCGGGGTGCGAATTGGCTGGCCGGCTTCCAGGGAATTCTGGAAGGGAAACGTTTCCTCAAATTCCTCTGCTAGCCTGCCTTGAATGAGGGGCAGCTGTCGGCCTCGATGGAGATGACATCAACTTGTGGGCGGAGATTCTTGATCGCCGTCGCCACACCGGCAATCATTCCACCACCGCCCACGCTGGCCAACACCGCCGAGACGTCGGGCACCTGGGAAAAATTCCTAACGCATCGCTGCTAGCTACCTGCTAGTCAGTTAGCGTTTTTCTGGCACTTTTTAGCGAAAATAGCCATTTTTAAGGCAAAAACATCTTTTTTTAAGTTAGAAAAACATCAAAACGCCGAAATTCCGGTAAAATACAAAAATGTAGGTTTTCTAAAATCCCTAAAAAAAAGTCTGCTCGTTGTCTGACGGCTAGTTAGCATTTTTAAGGGAGTTTTTAGCAAAATTTGTAGATCTTCAGATTAAAAATTTTTTTTAGTTAGAAAAACATCGAAACGCCGAATTTCGCGAAAACGAAAAATGTGCTCTGCTCGTTAAACCTGCTAGCCAGTTAGCGTTTTAATAGCATTTTTGGCAAAATTTATCTCTATTTGAGCCTAAAAATGGTTTGAAAGCAGAAAAAACCCCAAAATCCGGATTTACAAGATTCCTAAAGAACTTCTGCTAGTTACCTAAAGTGTTACCTGATCCAAAATCTCCAATCCAACAGTGCCAGCCCCAGCAATGACATGTTCATGATCATATCCGTTGATGTACTTGCCGCCGGCCTCGAGGCTTTGCGTCAGGGCCACGTGGCGACTCTCCGAAATGTCTTTGCCCTGAAACAGGAGCCTTTGGATGTTTTTTTAGCCGCTGACCTTGACGATGATGTTGCCGCCGAGCTGCTGGCACTGGGCAATCTTCTTGATCGGCGCGTGTCGGGGCATTACTACCTGAAAATCGGATTCTCGGCATGAAAAACCGGCTCTGTACCGATAGCACGGGGCAATGACAACAGAACGGGGCATTGACAACAGAACGGGGCAATGACAACAGAACGGGGCAAAGCCAGCAGAACGGGGCATTGGCAGCAGAACGGGGCATTGACAGCAGAACGGGGCATTCCGGAGCCCACGTAGCCGGCGGCCAACAGAACGGGGCATTGGTTTGGTCAAGAGGGCCGACGGTCAGCAGAACGGGGCATTGCAGATTTTGTCCAAAAACAACGTATTTGTATCGTCTCTCGCCTATTTTTGTTTCACATTATAGAGTTTTGGATTTGCAGAAGTGTGTGTCCAAAAATATTATCATCCAGATTTTTATGCCCCTATTACTTAAAGCCCCATCGCCTGGACCCTGGTAATGCTATTCCGTTCCCAACTTTTCCTATTTTCAGTCATATGCGACACCCGTATGATTTTATGCAGAGATCTCCTTCTCTGGAGCAAGGGGATAATTCTTTAGCGAACTTCCATTTGCTTCATTCCGCTTCAGAAGGATTTTTGCCGCGACTTCTTCGTCATCTAGTCGCCGTACGCCCCCTACTTTTTCAGAAAATACCAATATACATTTAAATAAACTGCCCCGTTTTAGTTAGAAACGTTCGGCGTGGTTGACACACACTTCTGCAAATCCAAAAATCTATAATGTGAAACAAAAATAGGCGAGAGACGATACAAATACGTTGTTTTTGGACAAAATCTGCAATGCCCCGTTCTGCTGACCGTCGGCCCTCTTGACCAAACCAATGCCCCGTTCTGTTGGCCGCCGGCTACGTGGGCTCCGGAATGCCCCGTTCTGCTGCCATTGCCCCGTTCTGCTGTCAATGCCCCGTTCTGCTGCCAATGCCCCGTTCTGCTGGCTTTGCCCCGTTCTGTTGTCATTGCCCCGTTCTGTTGTCAATGCCCCGTTCTGTTGTCATTGCCCCGTGCTATCGGTACAGAGCCATACTTTACACACATGTAGATGAACAGGCTTACCGGAAAATAGCCTAGAAAAAGCGTACCGTGATTGGGATGCCGAGTTTGTTGCCGTGGATGCACAGCGCTTGCGCGTGGTTGCCGGCCGACGCGGCGTACACCTAAAAAAATAGTTTTCTACATTTTCCTAAAGCTATTTAAAATTAAAAAAATTTTAAAAATGCTTTTATCCGATTTTTCGAGCTAAAAACGCTTTTTAAAACCTTGAAAAAGGAAAAAGACGAATTTCTAACAAAAAAACTAGCTTTTTCAAACGTGTAACGGCTATTTGAAGCTCGTTTTCGCTTCTAACACCTGCAAAATATACTTTTTTACTTTCTAAACCAAAAATCAGGCTCAAAACGCAGCGGTAAAACTTTAAAAACCAAATTTGTCGAAGAAATCTAGATTTCTAAAGGTTTAAAAACGAATTTTAAGGTCATTTTCGTTTGTTAAACGTTGTAAAATATAGTTTTTAATACTTCAAGCAGCTCCATCGACTGTTTTGACCAAAAACTCGTAAAAAAACAACTGACCCCCTTCTTCTTCTCGTCAGCCGTTAAATTCATGAGCGCCCAGCGGGCGCCGCGCTCCTTGAAGCTGCCCGTCGTCTGGAAAACGTCAGACTTCATTATTTTAAGTTACTGGACGCTAAACTGGCATCCAGGCTATAAAATACAAACACCAAATCATGCCTGGGTCTGCTCCATCTTGAGATAGACCTCGATTCCGGTGGCGTGGGAGAGGGCGCGCGAGTACCGGCACAGCGTCTTCTCCACCGCGCCCTGAAAAATAGGATAAAAACTTTCTAAAGTTATTTCGTTATCGTATTTACCTTACAATAGCTAAAGTGGATAATAACAAAGCTTTTTCACATTATTAACCCATTAAAATTGGCTATTTTCGAAATAACCTGTAAAAGTCGCGAATTTCAAAATTAGTTATCTAAAAACCCCTATAAAAACTTTAAATACTAATTGTTTTTCGTAGGTTCAAGTAGAAATAGCTAAAATGGCTAGAAATATAGCTTTTTGGATGCAGAATGAATTAAAATTAGCTTTTTTGGCCGAAAAGATTATGGAAAAGCGTCAAATTCGAACCATTTTAGCCTAAAAACTATATAAAAACTTTATAAGCTAATCTTCTTTGTATTTTCATGTCTTAAACGTAGTACTGGCGAGTACTAAACGTTTTCCCTACCCTAATTCCATAGGCGGCCTCGGTGATCTGGCTCATCCCGACGACAATCGGCTTCGCAGGATCGCAGCATGGGTCGATCAGCTCGGCCGGGAACTGGAAAAAAACGGATTTTAACGACTTGAAACTATTTGAAAATTGGAAGAAAGGTAAAATCGTTCATTCACTAACGGTTCGACTCATTTAGAAAGGGTGTTGCCTTTTTTAAAGCCAGGATCTAACGAAAAACATGAAAAAAGCGACAAAATTTCTCAAATTAGGGGTTTAAAAAATTACAAAACACTCTAGAAGTTGAAAAATTAGCTTATTAGTCAAATTATCTGCCAGTTAGCAGTTTTATAATGTTTTTACACTTTTAGAAACACAAAAATTCCGTAAAAACACGCTAAAATAGACAAAATTCGTGATTTTCCGGTTTTTACAAAGCTAAAAAAGCTCTAAAAACCCTCAATAACTTAAAAACCTCACTTGCTGGTTGCGTTTAAGCGTGGTGGTCGACAGAAAGCGATTAAAGTTGTCTGGAAAATGAGAAAAACGATTTTTGAACTTGAAAAGTAGTACTTTTTGTTAAGCGAGCGAGTAGCATCGAGAGGAGAAGCGGAAAACGAGTAGAAACAAGATTAGTAATGCCCAATTTTCGGGTTCAAAATGCCTTTAGGACTTTAAAATATGCAAAGAAAAAGATGCAAATTTTGCCCTTAAAATTTCATGGCGAATTTTTGCAGCCAAAATTTGCATTTTTTTTCGGGGCGAAAATGACTTCCGGTTTTGGATTCGCTAGTTTTCGCTTTAAATTTTCCCTCATTTCACCCAGCGATGCCTCGTCTGCAGCTGCCCGAGGAAGGTATGTGAGATTTTCCGCAAGGAATTTCTGCTAGCTTACCGTTTTGGCTAATTGCGCATGGAAATTAGGCCTTCCTAGCTGTCCGGCCCCTTTAAAATCCGCAAATTGCCTTTGCTAGCCTGCCATTTTGTGAACTGGCTGCCAGTTTGGCCATTTCCACTTCCTAAATGGTGTTTGCTAGCTTACCGGCCTTCCCGAATCGAGTACGCTAGAAAATTCGTAAAAACACGAAAATCTTGGTTTCTAATCGATTACGCACTCAAATACTCTCTGCTAGCTTGCCATTTTGTGAACTGGCAGCCAGTGTAAAGATTCGCACTTCCTAAATGATGTTCGCTAGGCTGCCAATCGCCGGACGAGCTGCCGACGAATCGTTGCAGCGGCGGTCTGCCGTCGACACAGCGGCTGGTGCGTCGCGTCCTGCGTCACGAGTTTCGCCATATGGAGAAGGTATCCAACGTTCCCTCAAAGATATCTGCTATTGCTCTCTCTCTCCTCCCAAATAATCCCTGCTCATTTGCCCAGGTGCTCGACGGCCTCGGCACCCCCGGCAACAAGATTCGCGTCGAGGAGACGGCCGGCAATCTCAGCTGCATGGGTGGGAGCAAGGATTTTTAGCTTGGAGTTTGTGGTCTGGCTACCAGTTTAGCTATGCCAGTCGAAAAATTAAGCAAAACTTCAAAAATCAAAAAACTTCGACCTCACCGGGAATTGAACTTGAGTAGTGCGCCTAATAGCTTTTCTTTAGTCTGTGGCCTAGGTTTCAAAGTTGTATTTTGTAGTCTGACTGCCAGTTTACCGAATCCACACCCCACATTTTCAGAATTGCTGGTCTACGAGGGCGAGCTGGGCCCGGATCGTGATCTGATGCTCGGCCCCGCCAAGGCGTCCGCCTACTCGCCCACCACGCGGTGCACCCTCAATTCTAGGGTCGGTTTCTTGGCTAGGATACCTTAACTGACAGCCAGGCTACGAAATGCAACTACCGTACTCCGTGCCGTACTTAGGAAAGTAGCGGAAAATTTGAAAATTGCGATTTTTTTTGCGGAATTTTCGGGAAGGCTCTAATTTCTTGTAGTTTGTAGCTATAACTCTAATTCTTTTGGGAATCACTAAACTGACACCCAGACTAGCGATTCGGATTCCGAAATGTCCTCTGTTAACCCGCCCTGCTTGCAGACGCCGGCCTCGTCGATCTCGACGCCGCCGACGCGCAGCCTGATGCCTTCCCCTCTCGGCGGGAAGGCGAAGAAGAAGAAAAAGAGGGGCGGCTCGACGCGTTCCTCGAATTCAACCTCTACCAAGTCGTCAAAGTCGACGCCCACGCCGCGCTCGTTGATGTCCACCCCGCCGTCGTCGCAGGTAGCTATTGTGCTAGTTTTCGCGTTCTGTAGTCTGTAGCCTGGAGCCTCGTGATTGTAGTTTGTAGTCTGGATATCAGTTTAGCGACTCCAATCAAAAAATTGGCAAAAAATTCCAAAAGCAAAAAGTTTTGCCGCGGCCGGGGGTCGAACCCGAGAGACTCTCTTAGTAGCGTTTTTGTAGTTTTTAGCTTGTGCTAATGGTTGGAGTTTGTAGGTTGGATGTCAGTTTAGCGTTTGAAATCGAGAAATTTTCTAAAAATTCAAAAAGCAAAAAGTTCGGCGCCGGCGGGGGTCGAATCCGGATAGATAGCCTAGTAAGGTTTTTGAAGTTTGTAACCCAGTTCCGGAAAATGTAGTCTGTAGCCTGCTTGCCAGTTAAGCCATTACAAAAACAATTGAAGCTCCAAGTCTAAACGGGACAGAAATTTCGCCCCAGATGTCGCTGATGTCGGCCACGCAGAAGATGTCGCTGGCGGAGGAGACGAACAACAACAACAACATGGACAGCAACAGCAGCAGCACGGCGTCGACCACGAGCAGCAACACCACCACCAACAACAGCAACAACAAGCCCAAGTCGAAGCGGTATGCGCGGAATTTTTTGGTTTTCCTTCATGACCCCTTCAAAATGGATTTTCTCATGCGGCAAGCTAGCAGTGATCATTTGGGAAATTTCAAAATGGTTTATGCTAGCCAGTTTGACTTGAAAGAGCCTTTAAAATGGAATCGATACTTTTTAAAGGACCATTCAAGGCAAAAAACGTCATGCATTGAGCCTTTTTTTGCCATTTCAAGGGATAGTGACAAAATTGAGATTAGACCACGCCCGTTTTTCAGCGCCACTGCGAAAAGCCCGAAAAGCCCGAAGAAGAACAAGAAAGCCGCGGCCCCCGTCGACGTCGAGGCGACGCAAGAAGATGGCGGCGCCGAGGAGAAGGAGAAGGAACAGGAGAAGAGGTGCGGCAGGGCAGGCTAGCAGGGACCCTTTGAGGATCGGCCTGCGTGATCTGGCTGCCAGTTTAGCGCTTCCCGAAAAAATTTGAGTTCTACCTACAAACTACGAAAAATAGAGCATTTATCGATCGATTGGATCAGCAAATCGTGATTTTGGCGCTTTTCCGAATTGCACCTATTGACGCCAGAGGTGCTGTAGCCGGTGTTTTGCGGTTGTATTCTGTAGTCTGACTGCCAGTTTAGCCATTCCCAATTTAAGAGACGAGGTTTTACGTTTTAAAGGGGCTTTAAAGGGAGCCTGACAACCGTGGTGCCTAGGAAGGGGCAGGCTAGCATGGATTCTTGAGGAAACGACCAAAAAATTTCGAAAATTTCCTCATTTGCAGCCTGAAGTCAGAGACATCGATCCCGGTGGTGCCCGACGACCCGGAGAAGGAATACGTGCCCCCGTTGCTCCCCGTCGAGACGATCCCCCAGAAGCCGCCCGGCTCGTCGCACGAGGTCCGCCATGTGGGTGCTTTTTACTCTAATGGCTACAGTGGCATCCAGTTCGCCCAAAAATCACATTTTAACCATCTACAGGAACGTTTCGGAAACTGCCAATGTTCGGAAAAGTTTCGCAACCGTATAATTTTTTGTAGTTTCTAGCTAGAACTCTGATTTTCTCGGGACTTGCTAACCTGCCAAGAAGTCTACAAGCTCCAATCGCTAGATCCAGGCTATAAATTACAAAAATCCTACCAGGTTAACTATCCGGGTTCGAATCCCGGCGGCGCTAAAATTTTTTGCTTTTTGAATTTGTGTAAATTTTTCGATTAGAATAGCTAAGCTGCCAAGCAGACTACAAAATAGAGACCAGAAAACGAAAGTCTGCACAGGCTACCTAACCGAGTTCGAATCCCCACGGCGCCAATTTTTTTTGGCCAATTTTCAATTTTTCAATGGGAAGGGCTACACTGCCAAGCAAAGTACAAACTACAGCCCCAAGAACGAGGCTAGCGAGTGCGTAAATCTGAACAGGCTGCCTATCTGGGTTTGAATCCCGTCGGCGCCAAAATTTTTTTTTTGCCTTTTTGCGATTCTAACATTTTTTTCCTTTTCAGTCGATCGAGCGGAAGAAGCACAAGCGCGGCGTGCGGGTGAACATTGACGTGAGCCGCCGTTGGTTCGCCAACCCCGACGACAAGGCGTTCAAGGGACTCCACATGGTCATCGACTGCCCCAATTATGAGCCAACGGTGCGTGGGGGAGGTTGTAGTTTGTAGCCTGGCTGCCAGCTTAGCTATTCGAATCGAAAAATCTACTTAAATTTAAAAAGCAAAAAGTTGGGCTCGGGCGGGAGTGTAACCCGGGTCGTTCGCCTGGTAGGATTTCTGTAGTTTGTAGATTGTATTTAAAGGTAGGAGCTTGTAGTCTGGCCAGTTTAGGTATTCCAATAGAAAAATTAGCTTAAACTTCAGAAAGCAAAAAGTTGGACGCGGCCGGGGTTCGAACCCGGATGGTCAGGCCAGTAGCTTTTTTATAGTCTGTGGCCTCTAGTTAGAGCTTTTACTATGTAGTTTGGCTGCCAGTTAAACCATTACCGACTTTAAAATCCAAAAAGCAAAACTTTGACGCGCGCAGGATTCGAACCCGGACCCTCCGCCTGGCAGGCTAACCACTTAGCCACTCGGCCACACCTCAAATTTCCCTGTTTTCAGCGCATCCAGGTGAACGGCGTGTGGAAGAAGGTGGTCGACGAGTAGCCGGAAAAGAAGAAGAAAATGAAGACTACAAACTACAAACGACAATTTTCTCTCGCTCTCTCTCCCCCTTCTGTTCTATTCTTTTTTATGTGCAAATTCCATTTGTGTGCGTGCGTTTTTTGTGTTTGTGAACGACTCCTCCACCTCATCCTCATGCTCCTCCTCCTCCTCGACCTGGTGCTCCCCAATTAAATGGATCCCGCTCAGAGGAATAAATTGTACTCGGTTTAATGGATTACGACATGAAAAATAGATAAAAACGCAGGGTTTAATAGATTACGACGCGAAAAGGCAGAAAACCGAGACAAGATCTCCCCTTAAAAATTGGGTAACTATTTTCTGAAACATTTTTCAGAAATTAAAAATTAAATTATTTTTATTTTTTATTTTTTTCGCCTAAGATGTAAGATTGGGTTTTTGGGAGACCAGATTGGGTTTTTGGGAGAGCAGATTGGGTTTTTGGGAGAGCAGCTTGGGTTTTTGGGAGAGCAGATTGGGTTTTTGGGAGAGCAGATTGGGTTTTTGGGCGAGCAGATTGGGTTTTTGGGAGAGCAGCTTGGGTTTTTGGGAGAGCAGATTGGGTTTTTGGGAGAGCAGATTGGGTTTTTGGGAGAGCAGATTGGGTTTTTGGGAGAGCAGCTTGGGTTTTTGGGAGAGCAGATTGGGTTTTTGGGAGAGCAGATTGGGTTTTTGGGCGAGCAGATTGGGTTTTTGGGAGACCAGATTGGGTTTTTGGGAGAGCAGCTTGGGTTTTTGGGAGAGCAGATTGGGTTTTTGGGAGAGCAGATTGGGTTTTTGGGAGAGCAGCTTGGGTTTTTGGGAGACCAGATTGGGTTTTTGGGAGAGCAGCTTGGGTTTTTGGGAGAGCAGATTGGGTTTTTGGGAGAGCAGATTGGGTTTTTGGGAGAGCAGCTTGGGTTTTGGGAGAGCAGATTGGGTTTTTGGGAGAGCAGATTGGGTTTTTGGGAGAGCAGCTTGGGTTTTTGGGAGACCAGATGGGGTTTTTGGGAGAGCAGCTTGGGTTTTTGGGAGAGCAGATTGGGTTTTTGGGAGAGCAGATTGGGTTTTTGGGAGAGCAGCTTGGGTTTTTGGGAGAGCAGATTGGGTTTTTGGGAGACCAGATTGGGTTTTTGGGCGAGCAGATTGGGTTTTTGGGAGACCAGATTGGGTTTTTGGGAGAGCAGCTTGGGTTTTTGGGAGAGCAGATTGGGTTTTTGGGAGAGCAGATTGGGTTTTTGGGAGAGCAGCTTGGGTTTTGGGAGACCAGATTGGGTTTTTGGGAGAGCAGCTTGGGTTTTTGGGAGAGCAGATTGGGTTTTTGGGAGAGCAGATTGGGTTTTTGGGAGAGCAGCTTGGGTTTTTGGGAGAGCAGATTGGGTTTTTGGGAGAGCAGATTGGGTTTTTGGGAGAGCAGCTTGGGTTTTTGGGAGACCAGATGGGGTTTTTGGGAGAGCAGCTTGGGTTTTTGGGAGAGCAGATTGGGTTTTTGGGAGAGCAGATTGGGTTTTTGGGAGAGCAGATTGGGTTTTTGGGAGAGCAGATTGGGTTTTTGGGAGACCAGATTGGGTTTTTGGGAGAGCAGCTTGGGTTTTTGGGAGAGCAGATTGGGTTTTTGGGAGAGCAGATTGGGTTTTTGGGAGACCAGATTGGGTTTTTGGGAGACCAGATGGGGTTTTTGGGAGACCAGATGGGGTTTTTGGGAGACTAGATGGGGTTTTTGGGAGACCAAATGTGGTTTTTGGGAGACCAAATGGGGTTTTTGGGAGACTAGATGGGGTTTTTGGGAGACTAGATGGGGTTTTTGGGAGACCAAATGTGGTTTTTGGGAGACCAAATGGGGTTTTTGGGAGACTAGATGGGGTTTTTGGGAGACTAGATGGGGTTTTTGGGAGACCAAATGTGGTTTTTGGGAGACCAAATGGGGTTTTTGGGAGACTAGATGGGGTTTTTGGGAGACCAGATTGGGTTTTTGGGAGACCAGATGGGGTTTTTGGGAGACCAGATGGGGTTTTTGGGAGACTAGATGGGGTTTTTGGGAGACCAAATGTGGTTTTTGGGAGACCAAATGGGGTTTTTGGGAGACTAGATGGGGTTTTTGGGAGACTAGATGGGGTTTTTGGGAGACCAAATGGGTTTTTGGGAGACTAGATGGGGTTTTTGGGAGACCAAATGGGGTTTTTGGGAGACTAGATGGGGTTTTTGGGAGACCAGATGGGGTTTTTGGGAGACCCGATGGGGTTTTTGGGAGACTAGATGGGGTTTTTGGGAGACCAAATGTGGTTTTTGGGAGACCAAATGGGGTTTTTGGGAGACTAGATGGGGTTTTGGGAGACCAGATTGGGTTTTTGGGAGACCAGATGGGGTTTTTGGGAGACCAGATGGGGTTTTTGGGAGACTAGATGGGGTTTTTGGGAGACCAAATGTGGTTTTTGGGAGACCAAATGGGGTTTTTGGGAGACTAGATGGGGTTTTTGGGAGACTAGATGGGGTTTTTGGGAGACCAAATGGGTTTTTGGGAGACTAGATGGGGTTTTTGGGAGGCCAAATGGGGTTTTTGGGAGACTAGATGGGGTTTTTGGGAGACCAAATGGGGTTTTTGGGAGACCAGATTGGGTTTTTGGGAGACTAGATGGGGTTTTTGGGAGACTAGATGGGGTTTTTGGGAGACCAAATGGGGTTTTTGGGAGACCAGATTGGGTTTTTGGGAGACCAAATGGGGTTTTTGGGAGACTAGATGGGGTTTTTGGGAGACCAAATGGGTTTTTGGGAGACTAGATGGGGTTTTTGGGAGGCCAAATGGGGTTTTTGGGAGACCAGATGGGGTTTTTGGGAGACCAGATGGGGTTTTTGGGAGACCAAATGGGGTTTTTGGGAGACCAAATGGGGTTTTTGGGAGACCAGATGGGGTTTTTGGGAGACTAGATGGGGTTTTTGGGAGACCAGATTGGGTTTTTGGGAGACCAGATGGGGTTTTTGGGAGACCAGATGGGGTTTTTGGGAGACCAAATGGGGTTTTTGGGAGACCAGATCGGGTTTTTGGGAGACCAAATGGGGTTTTTGGGAGACTAGATGGGGTTTTTGGGAGACCAAATGGGTTGGGAGACTAGATGGGGTTTTTGGGAGACCAAATAGGGTTTTTGGGAGACCAGATGGGGTTTTTGGGAGACCAGATGGGGTTTTTGGGAGACCAAATAGGGTTTTTGGGAGACTAGATGGGGTTTTTGGGAGGCCAAATGGGGTTTTTGGGAGACTAGATGGGGTTTTTGGGAGACCAAATGGGGTGTTTGGGAGACCAGATGGGGTTTTTGGGAGACCAGATGGGGTTTTTGGGAGACTAGATGGGGTTTTTGGGAGGCCAAATGGGGTTTTTGGGAGACTAGATGGGGTTTTTGGGAGACCAAATGGGGTGTTTGGGAGACCAGATGGGGTTTTTGGGAGACCAAATGGGGTTTTTGGGAGACTAGATGGGGTTTTTGGGAGACCAGATGGGGTTTTTGGGAGACCAGATGGGGTTTTTGGGAGACCAGATGGGGTTTTTGGGAGACCAGATGGGGTTTTTGGGAGACCAAATGGGGTTTTTGGGAGACTAGATGGGGTTTTTGGGAGACCAAATGGGGTGTTTGGGAGACCAGATGGGGTTTTGGGAGACCAGATGGGGTTTTTGGGAGACCAGATGGGGTTTTTGGGAGACCAGATGGGGTTTTGGGAGACCAGATGGGGTTTTGGGAGACCAGATGGGGTTTTGGGAGACCAGATGGGGTTTTTGGGAGACTAGATGGGGTTTTTGGGAGACCAAATGGGGTTTTTGGGAGACTAGATGGGGTTTTTGGGAGACCAAATGGGTTGGGAGACTAGATGGGGTTTTTGGGAGACCAAATAGGGTTTTTGGGAGACTAGATGGGGTTTTTGGGAGGCCAAATGGGGTTTTTGGGAGACTAGATGGGGTTTTTGGGAGACCAAATGGGGTTTTTGGGAGACCAAATGGGGTTTTGGGAGACTAGATGGGGTTTTGGGAGGCCAAATGGGGTTTTTGGGAGACCAGATGGGGTTTTTGGGAGACCAGATGGGGTTTTTGGGAGACCAGATGGGGTTTTTGGGAGACTAGATGGGGTTTTTGGGAGACCAAATGGGGTTTTTGGGAGACCAGATTGGGTTTTGGGAGACCAAATGGGGTTTTTTGGGAGACTAGATGGGGTTTTTGGGAGACCAAATGGGTTTTTGGGAGACTAGATGGGGTTTTTGGGAGGCCAAATGGGGTTTTTGGGAGACCAAATGGGGTTTTTGGGAGACTAGATGGGGTTTTTGGGAGACCAAATGGGGTTTTTGGGAGACCAAATGGGGTTTTTGGGAGACCAGATGGGGTTTTTGGGAGACTAGATGGGGTTTTTGGGAGACCAGATTGGGTTTTTGGGAGACCAGATGGGGTTTTTGGGAGACCAGATGGGGTTTTTGGGAGACCAAATGGGGTTTTTGGGAGACCAGATCGGGTTTTTGGGAGACCAAATGGGGTTTTTGGGAGACTAGATGGGGTTTTTGGGAGACCAAATGGGTTGGGAGACTAGATGGGGTTTTTGGGAGACCAAATAGGGTTTTTGGGAGACCAGATGGGGTTTTTGGGAGACCAAATGGGGTTTTTGGGAGACCAGATGGGGTTTTTGGGAGACCAGATGGGGTTTTTGGGAGACCAGATGGGGTTTTTGGGAGACCAGATGGGGTTTTTGGGAGACTAGATGGGGTTTTTGGGAGACCAAATGGGGTTTTTGGGAGACTAGATGGGGTTTTTGGGAGACCAAATGGGGTTTTTGGGAGACTAGATGGGGTTTTTGGGAGACCAAATGGGGTGTTTGGGAGACCAGATGGGGTTTTTGGGAGACCAGATGGGGTTTTTGGGAGACCAGATGGGGTTTTTGGGAGACCAGATGGGGTTTTTGGGAGACCAGATGGGGTTTTTGGGAGACCAGATGGGGTTTTTGGGAGACCAGATGGGGTTTTTGGGAGACTAGATGGGGTTTTTGGGAGACCAAATGGGGTTTTTGGGAGACTAGATGGGGTTTTTGGGAGACCAAATGGGTTGGGAGACTAGATGGGGTTTTTGGGAGACCAAATAGGGTTTTTGGGAGACTAGATGGGGTTTTTGGGAGGCCAAATGGGGTTTTTGGGAGACTAGATGGGGTTTTTGGGAGACCAAATGGGGTTTTTGGGAGACTAGATGGGGTTTTTTGGGAGACCAAATGGGGTTTTTGGGAGACTAGATGGGGTTTTTGGGAGACCAAATGGGGTTTTTGGGAGACTAGATGGGGTTTTTGGGAGACCAAATGGGGTGTTTGGGAGACCAGATGGGGTTTTTGGGAGACCAGATGGGGTTTTTGGGAGACCAAATGGGGTTTTTGGGAGACCAAATGGGGTTTTTGGGAGACCAGATGGGGTTTTTGGGAGACCAAATGGGGTTTTTGGGAGACCAGATGGGGTTTTTGGGAGACGAAATGGGGTGTTTGGGAGACCAGATGGAGTTTTTGGGAGACTAGATGACCCATCCTTGGCCTGCGGCGCGAGAGCCTTGGACCAACGACCTTTTTGGCCTGCGGCGCTAGAGCGAGGGTCAGGCCTATTCCCCGCACACCGAGAGCCTAGAAATATGCTTTGTTGCTGAACTACCAAAAAGCAAAAAGTTAGATCCGGGCAGGATCCGATCTCACTACTACGCGCCTGGCAGATAGACGCAAATGCACTGCACCACCGTGACGATGTGGATAGGCAGCGGGAAAGGCCTCTTCTCTTCTCTACTGGGGGAAGGGGGGGGGGAGGAGGTCACTTTACAAAATTCGGTTTTCGTGTCTGAATCAGCTGAAAATTTGCAAAGATAATCAGATGCGCATGATCCCCACCATCGAATACGTAAGTTTTCCAAATTCGAGCCCGAAATTCCATCAGGGCTTCGAGTTATGCCCCGGACACCACGGCTCTTGACCCATTTTCTTAAGGACTTTTTGGCAAAATGCTCATAAAAATGTTAGATTACAAAATCTGCCAAAACGCAGAATTATATCACAGAAGAATGTAATTTTCAATCTGCCCTCCAAAAATTAGCGCCTCTATTTATTATCGGTAATTATCTATATTATCAATGATCTCTATTTATTATCGGTAATTCATCATGAATTTAGACGTTCAAGGTCTCGGCGGAGGCCATCGAAGCTCCGAAGTCCGGTGTGGTCGAAAAACCTCAGCAAGGCGCCTCGAGTGACTTTGGAAATTCGGATACCTGGAAGGTGATCACCATTTCATTGAATCAAAATGTTCTCTATTTATTATCGGTAATTCATCATGAATTTAGACGTTCAAGTGCTCGGCCGAGGCGACGAACATGGAAAGGAAGGCTGCTACGGAAGGACATGAACAAGACTCGTCTCTTCAGTGCGGCAATTCCAATGTTTCGAAGGTGATCACCATTTCATCGGATCAAAATGATCTCTATTTATTATCGGTAATTCATCATGAATTTAGACGTTCAAGGTCTCGGCGGAGGCCATCGAAGCTCCGAAGTCCGGTGTGGTCGAAAAACCTCAGCAAGGCGCCTCGAGTGACTTTGGAAATTCGGATACCTGGAAGATGATCACCATTTCATTGAATCAAAATGTTCTCTATTTATTATCGGTAATTCATCATGAATTTAGAGCTACAAATCGTCGGCCGAAGCTGAAGCCGTGCCAAAGAAGGATACTTCGGAAGGACCGCAGCAAGGGTCGTCGAGTGACGACGGCAATACCAACGTTTCGCAGGTGATCACCATTTCATTGAATCTAAATGATCTCTATTTATTATCGGTAATTCATCATGAATTTAGAGCTACAAATCTTCGTCTGAAGCTACGGATGTGGCGAAGAAGGGTACTACCGAAGGACCGCAGCAAGACTCGTCTCATGCTACGATGAGTATGTGGCGCGCGGCTTCGTATGGCCGGTTGAGGAAGAGGATGAAGATGAGGAGGAGGAGGAGGAGCTGGAGGACGATTCAAAGAAGAAGCTTTAACGAATAATTAAGTTTATGGTGCTTGTGCGTTTCTGGGGGGAAAAAGTCGGAATTTGATCAAAAATTGGCTATTTTCGGTCGAAAACTCGATATTTGTGATATTTTTTAATGCCATTTTGCCCAGTTTTTTGGCTTGGAAATAGTAATAATTCATTTGGAAACACTTTGGCTTTTATATCGGCAAAATGAGATAGAGTTGCCTTCCCCCGGAAACGCGAAAAAGCCAAATTTACCCAATCCCTATTCTATGCGTCATTTATCTGCGTGGTTTTGTGACCTTACTGTGATTTGAATGTGATTTTAATGCGCTCGATTGTGTTATGTATTTGTGCTGGCCGAAACGATAAATATATTTTCTGGGAATTCACCTTTCAAAAAATCCGGAATTTCGATTTTGCCCAAAAATCGGTACTGTGCTGTTAGCGGGGGGCGGGCGAATTTTCCCTGTGCTTTTTTACGGCACTTTAACTAAATATAAGCTATTTTTATCGCATTTTACATAATTTTAGATATAAAAACAATATAAAACACAATTAAAATTCCCGAAAATTTTTGCTTTTTTTAACCAAAAATGTATGAAAAATGGCCAGATTTCGAAAAAAACAGAGTGCTTCCTCCCCCGCTAACAGTCCAGAACCCCTGGCCCTGTCATTTTTCCCAAGTAACCTCGATTGACTCATTAGCCAATTCAGCAAATTCCGATGCTCCTCGTGGCACGAAACATGCAATTTTTATCGTAATTTTTGTGTACCGCTGCTAGTTTGCCCTGGCTTGGGTGAGCCTTGGCATACGGTAGCCCGTGCCATGCGGTTCTTGAAATTCCCCAAGAATCTCTGCTCGCCTGCCCAACACAAACTATGTTAACACAGCTTGACTTCAGAGTGGCCTCCCGAAAAACGACCGATAGCCTAAATACCGCGAAACATGCAATTTTTAGCAGGGATTTTTCTCATTCGGAGCCGAAGTCGATCGCTGTCTAGATTTTCCTAGGATTCCAGTAAATTGAGATTATATGATTTTGAATAAGCTCCGCAACATGCGATTTTAAAATTTCCCAAGAATTTTTGCAAAAATTGTTTTTGTTTCGTTTCATTTTTTCGCCAACAATATTGCGAAATCTAGGAATTGAATATGGTCAACTACAAACTACAATCACCGCAAGCTAAGGTTGCCGGCCAGAAACTTCAACCCGAACTGCACACCAAGCCTGGCCAAAAAGTTTCGGTTTTTTTACATTTTTTTGAAACATTTATTTATTATTTTATTTATTTATTATTTTATTTATTTATTTTATTTTTATCTTATCAAATTCTTTTTTTATCTGATTTCACGACAACATTTTTGCCTGGAATTCCGGGACTTTACCGGGAATTTTAGCTTATATAAATTTCGACATTATGATACCAATTCCTAGGCAAGATTTGTTAAACCCCTGTTGAATAAATTAAAGAACAAAAGCAAAAATCGTCAATTGTATCATTTTATGAAACTTTCTTTTACAAAAAATTTTATCCTTTGATTTATATTAACGTTGCACAGCTTTATATTGATGAGAATTTGATGAAACTTTTGAGAGAATATTTTTCATTCCATGAAAAAATTCTAAAAACTAGGTTTGAAATAAACTAAACTAAAGTCTTCGAAGTTCCGTATGAATATATTGTAAAATTTGAAAACGTTATATTTTTGTGATTTTTTGAAACATTTTAAAGCTACCAAATTTCGCAAATTTTTTGAATATCATAATTTTCAACTGCATTTACAAGTTTGAATTTTAGCAATTTGACGAAAAAAATTATATTTTTTAGACCCACATGAGGGACAATGAATGTATCCCGGTCCAAAATCGCCACAATTTGCGGCTTTTTGAAACATTCATTTTTGTTTTTCGACCTGCACTTTAGATATTTATTGAAATCTACAAGCTACAAACTACACAAATCACATAAAAACCAGCAAAATTCAAAGAAATTTTTGAGTTAAAATTGGGGAAATTCGGGCGGCTCGCTACCGGAATTCAGGTGGCGCTTCATGTGGAGCTGGAGGTGATCACTCCGTCCGAATGTGCGGCCACAGCTCGGGAATCTGGAAAAAAACGCTTAACTGCCAGTCAGACTACAAACTACAACCTTCAGATCGAGGCTACAGGCTACGGAAATGCTAATAGGCGCGCGGCCCGGGTTCGACCTCGCTAGCGGCTAACTTTTTGCATTTTGATTTTTATGCTAATATTTCGATAGTAATGGCTAAATTGGCGGCCAGACTACAAAGTACATTCGATAACTTCAGGCTACAGACTAAAAAAAGCTGCGAGTTGCACGACCCGGGTTCGACCCCCGCCCACGGTAAGCTTTTTGCGTTTTGAATCTTGTGTTAATTTTTCGATAGGAATAACTGAACTGGAACCCAGACCACAAACTACAAATCTTATTTTTAATTTATATCAGCTACATCTCGAGATAAAGTACCTGAACGGCTTGGCGCCGGTGTGCTTCCGGTAGTGCCGCGTCAACTCATCCGATCGGGCAAATGAGTAGTGACACATTGGCCATCGGCACACGTAGGGGCGCTCTCCTGGAAAATATATTGATGAAAATTGCAATTTAAATGGGTCTTCAATTTTTAATTAGGTATTGGAGTTGAAAAACAATGTTTCAAATCAAATTAAAAATTAAAAAATTTATTGTTAAATGATATCACCTTGTTTTTACGTTTAAAAGTAAAATTTAGCAAATCCTTTTCTTTATTCTCTTTGATTCCTTAGGCGTAAATTTAATGTATGATTTACCAAAGTTGAAATATAAAATTTCGGTGTTTCAGAAAGATTACAGTTTCCTTTTTTTTTCGGGAACCAATACATCGAAGCAGCCAGAAACTAAAAACAACTACAATTAAAATGAAAGATCGCTGACACTAAGATAACTTTGATTAAAATTTGCGGTTTTTAAGCTACAGTAAGATACTTATATACTTTGTAAATAAAAAGTAAAAAAGCCTAAAATCCGCGGTTTTCTCAAAAAATGTTTTAAGGATGACCTTTGCAAAAAAAATGTTTCAGAAAGTTGCACGATTTGTCTACACCGGTGGACATTATTACAGCCTCCGCCGAAGTTTTTCCAAAATCACGATTTCTGGCGGTGTTCATTGAAAGCGTTCTATAAGGGAAAGTAGCGGTATTCTATCACGATTTCATACCACAAACCCGTTTTGTAATTCTCTGGACAAAAATCTTTTTAGGAATATTTTCCCAAAAAAGGCACTTTGAAAAAGGGACATAATTATAGCCTCACTTGGGTAACATTTAAATAAAAAATTAAATACTCGCACAAATCAATAAGAAACAATTCCAATAATGTTTGGCTACACCATTTCATGTAATTTGATGGGGGGAGATGCTTCTCCAAGCCAGAATACAGGCAGGCGATCGACTTTTTGTCTGACCGGATGCGAGGTGGTTCCGCTAAATATTAAATTTCTTATTTTAGAAAACAGATGCTGGTTGCAAGAAATAATTTTTTTTTTTGAGCACCTCCGGACTAAATGACCACCTCCAGGCCCCCGCCCCCAAATTTACCCAATCAAATCGAACCCTGGTAAGAAGATGGAGAATTATTTCTATAAAATTTTGAGTAGCGTTGCAATTTTTTGTAACATTTTTTTGAAAAATTCAAAATCCTTGATTCTTCGGGGTTTGTAGAGGGAGTGTGACGGCCAGGGGAATTGGAGGCTAGCAGCGAGAATTTGGGAAAATTTAGGCCTAAAAAATGGGCGAAAAAGATGAGATAGCGATAGGTCACAGATTGATCTAATCCCAAAAATGATCCGCCGATTTCCGGGGCGAAACATAATTTTTTTCAGATTTTTTTGCGCCAAAAATCACCAGGTAGGCTAGCAGAGGGCATTTGAGAGGATTTAAAAAGCTGCAACAACTAGCAGAGGCACTTTAGGAATCGGGAAAATCAAGAATAAACCGAAAAATCCCTCGAAATAGCGCTAAAATATCACAGAAATAGTTCGGATTATTGAGACACCATTATCTGTCTAAAAATACGACTGGAGGACAATTACTCGTATCTGAAAAGCACGGCACCCAGTTTGGGAATGAAACATTTTTCGGAAAACGAAAGAATTATTTAGGCCAGGGGCAATCCAGCAGAGGCAATTGGGGAAGGTCTTCGGTCAATTTTTTTCTTCAGGGGCTAACAATAATATCTAAAAAATAAGGACCTGTTTTAATTTATTATTACAAATGAAAAATGGAATTTTTATAAATTTTAAATTATTATTATCATCCCGAAAATGCACGCAAATTGGAAGGGCAGGCTAGCAGAGGCCATTTGGGAAGCGGAAAAAATACACAAATGACGGGGCCAAAATAGAGATACCTGGGAAAAAGAGCATATTACCAACCGGATGAGGTGAACAGATGGACCCACTAAATGAATCCCAAAACTCGACAACCTATCTTTGAGAGAAAACATTTATTTTTTAACGAAGAAAAAATCTCGAATTTTCAGTTGCTGGGGCAGGCTAGCAGAGATTATTTGTCATTGTGCCAAAAACGATGTCGTCATTTTTAGCGTGCGTCGTCGCCAGAACTTGACTCCAAAAATCGAAAAACGTGCTCTTGGGATAAAACATATTTTTTTGACAAATTCGCGACTCTCTATGAAGTGCTAGGGCAGGCTAGCAGCGGTTATTTGGGAAAATCTCAAAACTACGCTTTAATATCGGGATGCTTGGAAAAATAACGGTTTCTTCCAGGACTACGAAAGAAGTATCCCTGATCAATTCCAGAACTCGCCTACTTATTTTTGGGATAAAACATATATTTTTATGAAAAATCCTGAATTTCCTGTTGATTGGGCAGGCTAGCAGAGATCGTTTGATCAAAAAAAATCAAAATAACGGCAATAACATGCAGATACCTTGCAAAACCCGCATATTGCCCCCCGAATCTGCCTGCTTTTATTAATCAAATCCCAGGACACGGCCAC